CTAGAAAACAAGACGCATTACTAGCATAGACAAAGCTAATCACTTAGCAATTAGAAGAATTGAAAATGAAGATGCAAGCTATGAAAGTCAATTTCGTGCAACCTCAACAACACAAATGTGATGTATACATAAGACAAAAGTGTCAAATGAGCTAGTTTGTCAACTACTGAATTAACCTCGTGAACATCATGATATATTAATATATAAAAGAAATTTTGTGTGAGATGATGAATATCTCACGTAATAGAACACTCTTCAAGAGAAATCAATCTTAATTTCTTCAAATTAAAGTTCACTACCTATAGGAAATTAAATTTCAAAATTACCCTATGATAATTTTTTAGGGCCAAGTGGAGACTGTAAAAGATTACTTTCAATTTAACATAGAAGGTAGACCTATTACCATCAAAAGAAATAAACTTCATTAGTCATTCATTTATAATCTCATATAACATGACCCCAACCCATATAATCCATCCTACAACTACCATCCATATTAAATTTTTAATGCTAAATAAATGGTAGATGTCACGGCATCTCCTAAAAAGGGACAAGTTTGAGGGACAAGTTGTTTGAAATTAGTAAAGAACAATCATTCTTAGACTAACGAATAAAATTCAAAACATGATAGACACTTCATTTCTTCTCATTAAAGAGTATATTATTTCTTTAATACTAAAGTTGACAAAGAATGGATAAATAAGAAATACAATCCTTATATAAAGGTAAAGTAGCAATCCAAGTAGCAATAGAGTCATTAAAATTACAATAGACAAATAACAGTTTCAAGCAAAAAAAATTCTTTAAAGTAAGGACAATTTCTAAGCTTCATCGAAATAAGCATTACCTTCTCTCAAAAAGTGAATTAGGTAACATTTAAGTTGTCATAAAAGGAAATCGAAGCTCCAAACATTTATTCATATAAATTCTACTCCATAATTTATGTATTTCTTATTTATTTATCATGTATTTAAATTGTTATTGCTTTGAAACTAAATTTTTTAAATGCTTGAATTGTTTAACATTTAGTAAGCATTAGTAATAAGTGATTGTAAATATAATTTCTGTAAAAATAATACTAAAAGAGTTAGAAACATTTCCTTTTACTATAATTGACAATTATATTTAATCGTTGGTTGAAACATATAAAAAAGCGTAAAATATTTAAATTTAATTTATATTATTTTTAATTAAAGTATCAACATATCATTCAAAGGCTTACATTTTAATAGTTTGATTATTCAAATATTAAATATTTGATATTTTATTTAATATTACATATAATTATATTTATATTTTTGTTTGTTATATTCAGATAACTTAAATATAGTCTTCTGAAATTAAAGAAAGACTAAAAATTATCTCATTTTAATTATTAAAAATATATTTTACTTTCTAAGGAGTGGCCGTAAAAGTCAAATTTTTAAAATATGGACGATATCATAGAAATCATTGTAAATAACATTAATTAATTTGATGTATTGTCACAACTGAAAAGTTGTAACGGTACGATGGAAACGTGTTTAAGAAAAATATCTTTTAAAAATAAAAAATATTTTCTAAAAAATCGGAAGAGTTGACACCAAAATTTATTAAAGAAAACTTTGAAAAAAATTTAAAAAATAATCTTGGAGACCAAAAATAAATTTGGGAATTGTTTATGTATAGAGAAAATATTAGCACTCGTCTGTTTATATAACAGTTACCTTCAATTAATTGTGCAAATTTATTTTAATTTTGAAAAATATTTATTTAACTCCTAAACAATAATTATTATTATTTTATCTTAAAAGAAGACAAATTATTTATTTAAATATTAATTGATATCTTAAAAAAATAAAAGTTATTTTAAAAATTATTTTGACTTGACAGGTCTAATTTCGGCTCTACATATCCCCATGTGCAATGGAGAACTCAAAGTCACGTAGTTTTATCATAAAAATCATGAAGTTGATCGATTAAAATTAAGTTTAGTAAAATAAAGTCTATTCTCTATTTTGAGATTAAAATTATTTTGATAGGATTATTATGTTTATGATACAAGATAATGCGGTTATACATGCATCTTACAATAAATAATATAGAAAGCGAAAAGATATCATACAACTATATTGTAAATCATTAAAAAATATTTGTATTTGTAAATAAAATATTTGAATTATGATTCATGTTGAAAGAGAATTTAAGATAGCATAAGCTATACATAAATTTCTTATAATTTATTGAACAATTGAAGGCAATGTAAATTACACATCAAAGTTGTTAAAAATGTATAATAAAATGAAGAAATAAATTAATTAATTCAGTATTAGTTATTTAATTTATTAAAGTTAAAAATATGACTTAAGAAAATTTAAAATATGAAATTAATTTAATTTAACCCAAAGTAATGTTGGTACACAAAAGTCTTAACAATTTAAAGCGTATAAAGGTAGAGACATTATACAATAACACTATAAATGATTGCCTTAATATGATAACAATATTTTAATTTAATTAAATAAATGATTTTTTATAATAGAAAATAGAGATATATTTTTAATTAGATAATAAATTTTAATTAAATAAAAATAATTATGTAATTGATTAATTTTAGAAGTTAGATTTAATTTTTATATAAATTGATGGTGTAAAAATTTAAAGTAACATTGGTACACATAAGTTTTAACAATTTATACGCATAAAGGTAGAATTGTTACACATTAGTATTATAAATTATTTCGTTAATAAAACAACTTAGATTTAAATTAATTGATTGATTAATAAGTTAGTAATTAGAGAAAGAACATTTTTTGATTAATTATTAAAATAATTATCTAATTAATTAAAAATAATATATGACAAATTAATATTGTGTAAAGCCAAGGTAACATAGATACACTTAAACTTCATCAATTTATAATACATCACAATAGAGAAACTATACGTTAGTATTATAAATTAATACAATTAGATTATTATTTATTTATATATATATAAAAATAATAATAATAACTTGCTATTCATGAAATAAAAGAAAGTAAATCATAAAAATATAAAATTAAATCATATCAATATTTTACAATTATACAATAAATAAAATAAAAGATAATAATTCTAAAGAACAAATAACTAACATATAATTAAGACATAAACTATGAAATAACATGAAAAATTATGGAGAGAATTTATTGTTAATGTTAAAATGAAATAAATTTTACATATAACAACACAACTCGAATAAATAAAAATTATCATTATTTAGTATAATTTAGACCACTCACTACCAAAAAGAAAAAAGAAAAAAAAATTTGGATTAAAAAGAATTAAATTTTTATTTAAAAAAGGTAAAAAGGTCTAAAATTTAAAAAAAAACTTTAGATTTGAATGGTTGAATTTTTTGTAGGGCAACAAATGAGTTTTTTTTTTTAAAAAAAAAAAAGGTCATGAAAGGGATGAAGTTAAGTTTGATGGAGACCATGATTGGGTGATGGGTTGAGGAGGAGAAACTTTCATGGTTGAGAGAGAAAAGTTTTTAAGATTGAATATATGGGTTGAGGGAGAGGTAAAAAAATGTGAAGAGTAAATGAGTTGTTTTTGGTTGGAGATAAGTTGAAGGGATGAACATCCATAGGTGAGAATGGTGAGTTAATAGAGATGAAAGGAAGTGGTAGAGAAAGAAGACCTTAATAATGGATTTAAAAGATTGAGAATGATTAAAAGAAAATTTTAAGAGCTTTATTGAATGAAACTTACATTAATATACATAAAAATTTTATAAAATACATGAAACTTACTTGAAATTTTTTAATCTCTTTTTCTCTTTCTCTTCTTCTTCATCTCCTTCTTTTCTCTCTAAGTTTAAAAATCTCTCCTCTCAAAATTTTTAGCCTCTTCCATGCCTCCCCTCCCTTTATGATTTTATCCTCCTCTTTTACTTTTAGGATTTTTTACAAAAATTCAAAAATTCTAATTTTTTTCTTTTTTTTTTTTAATGTATAAAGCAAGTATTGTTAGGTAAAATTATTTGCTATGCTTTATTTTTCAATTTTGAAGTCAAATATGAATTTTTCTATTTTATTAAAATAAACTTTATTTTTCTTTAAATATTTTATTTTTATTCCCTTTTTATTTTTCACCATGTTTCCTTTTCGGCAAGTGGTAACATGGTGAAAAGGACATAAACAGCAGTGATGGTTGGTTTTCGTGCACCTTTTTCCTTCCTTCCTTTAATTTCAATTTCGTGGATAATCTAAGGGTTATAGCAAATTAGTTCATCGTACTTGAAGTCGATCGATAGCAATGATACCATTTTGCAAGAAATGGAAGATTGGCACTTAGCAGGGTCCCCACTCGAGCTCGCCCCATCGTGGCAAACGCTACACACAATTAGAAGAGAAATTATTTTTGAATATCTCAAGGAGATCGATACGTACTTTTAGGTATTTTTCATTTTTTTCTAATAAATTTTTATGTATTTTTAAATGTATGTATTAAAAAAATTATACACAATATCACATAATGTGTATTTAACTCGAAAGATTAGCGTAACAAATGTGCTACCCAGCCTCGTTGCGTGGCAGCAGCGAGCTGAATAGGTGGTCTTTTAAAACTTGAATTCAATTTGGACTGACAAGGTTTTTTTAGAGTTATCCTGTATTAAACTTAATCAGAACCAGTTAAAAAGATCTTAATTCAATTTGAGTTTAAAATTTGAAATTCAAATTCTAGAGTTCGAGCTTAATCGGTTCTAGAAATCACAAACTTTGAGTAACAATTAGTATTTGATCTTCTAGTCTCATAGACACTTCGTTGTCTCTAACTTTGGATTTAAAAAAATATAATGTCAAATTTTAGTTGTTTAAATATTAATTTTGCAATTAAAATACATGATATATATGAAATTAATTATTTTTATTGACATAATGATTCATGATTGAATGTAGTATAAAAAATATTTATATTATTAGTATATAATTAAATTTTTAATATTTATATCTATCATTTGTGCATGAGTCGGTAGACTTATCGTGGCACACGTTCAAAGTGTCTTTGTACGTCTAGAAATCAAGCACCATGCTATCGTGTGCCCAAACATCATCCCTTGGCCATTAAATTAAATCTTTGTTTTCGGGCATATAAATAAGGGTCTTTGGTGGCAATCTTGGTCCTTAGCACTGAAACCCACCAAAGCCTAGCATCTGCTAGCTAGCTTTGTGCCTTGGGATGAATCCAAAGAGATATTGATGCCAAAATGAGTGGGTAGATAAAGGAGAGTAAAAGGTTAGGTAGCCTGGAAACAAACAAGTGGTAGTGAGAAGATGTTGTCTAGTGATGATAAAAGGACTATGCAATCTGGCTCTTGTTCTGCTTCCAGATTTGCCTCTTCTTGGTGGCTTAGAAGTTGCATTTCTTCATGTTCTTCAGAAAAAAGGGAACCATCCCACGGAAAGCTTTCTAAGTCTGCTGCTGAATCACCAGCTACCAACCCCAGGAAGCACCTCGGAGGATGGAAGGCCATAACTTTTATTTTAGGTCTACTTCTCTTTCAATTATGATGTTTATACCTCCTTTCTTCAACTCGTTTTCTATAAGACACGATTAATAAATAATCGAGTCCTTTACTCATACTGTCAGCAATTCGACTCTTGACTTCGTGTGTAAGAGAAAACAAAACTTGTATTAAGAATCTTTCATTTTATTTATTATCTCTTGTTTCTTTACCCTCCTTTCTTTTTTTCTTTTGCTTATATATTAAATGGGTGTAAAAAAATATTTGATCAATCTTTACGAATATTTTATGACACTAATATTATTAATATATTTTTATTATGATTTTTAATAAAAAAAAGTTTATTTATTAAAACAAAAACAAAAACTTATCCGCAAAATCTTGCCGTTTTTGACAAACGAAGCTCAATTTCCAATAATTAATGTATTTGACTGGGTTTTGCTTAACGCTGCAGGGAATGAAACGTTTGAGAGGTTAGCAGTGTTTGGATTGTTCGCAAATTTTACAGTGTATCTGACAAGAGAGCTTCACTTGGAGTTAGTTTATGCTTCTAACGTTGTCAACATATGGTTTGGGATCACCAACTTTGCTCCCTTGGTTGGTGCCTTCATTTCTGATGCCTACGTTGGTCGCTTCAAGACCATTGCTTTTGCTTCCTTTGCTTCTCTTTTGGTAAGAATCGAGTATGTTCTCTCTATATATGGCTACCTCATTCATTCAAATATATATATATATGGTTTCATTTTTTAACATTGACAATTCATGAGAACTTGCTGGTATAGTCACTATTGCCTTTTTTTGGGTTTAGATTTTAACGGAAAAAGAAGTAGGAGTGCATTCAAATATATTAAATCGGTTCAAAGTGAATCCATTCGCATTTTATGTGCATGTTCGTTACTTAGTTTATTTAAAATGTTTTTCTGATTGAAAAACGTTTGGAAAATTTAAGATGATTGAATCAGTATATTAAAATCTAAAACATAATTTAATGTTTTTCATTAGTTATAAAAAGGATATTTTTAAAAATTTAATTACAGGCATTATATATTAAATAATTAAACCTGTATATAAACATTTGTGTTATATAATAATATATCAATTAATAATTAACTAATTTTCTCAATTCGTGTATATAAATTTTAGGTTTAAAATTTTTTTTTTTGTTTGGAATGTATATAATTTGATCTATTATTTTTTAATCAATTAAATACTTTTATTTTTGAAATTAAACAAATGTAATTCTTTAAATAATTGTATTTTACATAAATTTTTTCAATATCAATATTTTTCTTATCAAACTATTATCCTATGTTATATAAAATCCTTTAAATTTTCTAAATTTTTATTAACTTTAAATTTTTAAATTCATCATAATCTCGCCTTTCTCACCTATTTAGATCCAAAAATATTTTAAAAAATTTTAATAGAATGTTGATAAAAAAATATTTTTTATTCGAAAAAAATAATTTGAAAAATTGAAAAAACTAAATCATACCTAATCTAAATTAAAGAAAAAATATATATAAGTAAACCTAAATTCTTAAAATAATGATTCTCCCAAGTAGATGGCGGTGATATATGCTTTGCTGAAGCCTGGAACTGAAACAGATAAAACATATTCTGTTCACATTAAATATATGCACCTGTCTATGCTATTATTGCTTACCTCTAATATTATGGCAGCTTTGAATGAAAGTTGTTGAACGTAATAAAATATTAATGATAGTGGAGTGAATGGCTGGCCTCTTTGTTTTAGCGAATCTAAATTAATGTTAAAATATAAGGAAATTTTTTGAAATATTTTTATTTAATTAAAATTTAATTTTTAATGGTATTGTTTTAAAATATAAATTAATAATTGCATGTAATCCTTAAAATAGAAAAAGAAATTTTTAAAAATTAGTTAATAAGATTTATTTATTTTTCTTGAAATGCTAAATAGCTTCATTCATGAAGGAATCTTACTGGACATACTAGAGAATGTTATTATTTCTTTTTTAACAAAATTCAAAATATTAAATGTGATTAACTAATTTTCTTAATTAACATAATTTAGTTATTTGCGGTTCATGTTTGAGACCAGAGGGGTGTTTATTACTGTTTGGTTTTATTTATTTTAAATTTTATGATAATTTTTATGAAAAACAAATAATTAATTAAAAAATATTGTTTAAAACATGTCCTAAATTTAATATTTCTAATATTTTGGGGAATTAAACTCTAGTCTCTTTTTTGGGTTAAGAAAACTATAGTCTCCTTAAAATAAATAAATAGTATTATTAGTTTTATAATTCATAACTTAAAAAAAAAAATTTGTAATTAATTTTATAATTTTTTTAATATGCAATATGAGCTCCACATTTTTAATTATAAATAAAAAAACTATGTGAATAAGAGAAAAAACATGAGAGGAGAAAAATAAGTAGCATAATTAAAAGGAGAAATAACAATAACGATAAAGATAAAAGAAAATATATATCAGCAACAGTAATAGAAATTAGGCATAAAAATCTTCATTTTATCAACTAAAAAGTTGAAAATTTAGGACGCGTTTAAATTAAAAATAAATAAATATCTATATAATAAACTTCAATCATATGAAAAATTATGGAATGAATTCATTATAATAAATTTTAAAAATTATAAAAGTCATGAATTATTTTTTATAGGTTTTATATAAAAATTTCAAATATTTCTACAATCGATTGTCATTTAAGGGGATTTCTGTCTTTTCTCTTTTTTACATCCAAAGCATACTACTAGTCTCTTGATTAGTTTATGGTTTTCTTAAAGAACAAAATGATAATGATATAGATAAACAGCATTATATTATGTCAACTGTACTACAACTATTTCAGAATACTGTCTTATTGAACTTATTTTATAAAACGAATGCTTATTTTTGGAAACAAGTACTTACTTACTTTCAAGTATATTTGCAAACTTAGGGAAAAACAAAGGAAAGAAGCTTTAAAAATTAATTTCATTTTGAAGAGGCCACTAAGCCAAGCTTCTAAAATATAAAAGGACAAGTAAGACAAGTACTTTTTTAATTATTGAATTAAATTGTGTATAATATATTTCTCAAGAAAACAGTTTCTCTAAAAAAGAACGTAAAAATTCACCATTTTTTATAACTTCTTTTTGAACTAGTAATGTTCATCAACTTCAGCCATCAATCAATACTATTCGACAATCGAACCCTTATTAATTAAAAGGTAAAAAAAATATTAAATAATGTTGTCATGTATTATTATATCACTAGAAAAATGTTATCTCTTTCCTTCCAATTTTTTATTTAAAAATAAGTCAATTAACTTATAAATTGGTCAATTAACATTGAAGGACATTGTCTGGATGAGAATTGTGTTATAAGTCAAAGCATGTGGATAACCAACTCTCAATAATTTGTTTGTGTGTAGCTCTTTCTATCTATCTATCTACGTGTCAAAGCCAATTGATATTGATTGTGTGGTGACTATAAAATAACATCTTTAATAATATTTATTAAAAATAATTTTTTATATTTAACCTCTTAATTTAAATTTCTTATAAAATAGATTAAATATATAAAATTTTATACAATTAAATACTAAATAATATGTTATCATCTTTATATATTTTAACAGATAAAATATTATTTAAAATAAAAATAAAAATTGCAATTTAATTAAATATTTACAAATGTTTAAATTATATAAAAGTTTATATACATCTTCATAATAGTTAACTACTAGAATTATTAAAAAAAATTTAAAAGTGTTAAATCTATTATTAAATTTAACACTTCATGAATTGATCTTAACATTACACGCACGTAGATAAGGATTAAATTTCTCAGACAAAAAAATATTTTGCTTAATAACTTTTATAATATATTGAATTTGATTAATTCAACTGTTAAATAAGTGATATGTTTATGTTAATTAAATATATTAAATTTTAAATAAATTAAACATTTGTAAATATGTAATTTTATAAATAATATTTATTTATATTTAAAAATATATATAATAGACATGAAAATAAATTTTTTAATGAACTATTAATTAGTTTTTAATTTATTCAAGTTTTCATAAATCTTGATATATTTAAAAATATTAATTTAACAAATAAATTGACAAATTCAAAGTTTATAAGAATTTATTAAATAGAATAAAAATGTAATTACTAAGGATATGTTTGATTTTTCTTTTAAAAACTGTTTTTAATTTTTAAAAATAAATTATAATATGAATTTGTATTATATTTTATTTTTAAACTGAAGTTTTTAAAAGATAAAACAAACATATGCTCTAAGATACCCTTTAGAAATATAGTTGCGTGCGACCAGCAAATCCCGTAGATAAATCTTTCTTCCTGATTTTGTCAAATAGACAAAAGTTACTTTAAAGATATAGCAATAGATAGATAATGGACTTGAAAAGGAAAAACGACAAAAAAATAGATTATGGAATTGAAAATAATGAACTAGAACAAGCCACTTAAATCCCGTTTAGAGGAATGAAAAGTATTAAACTGCAATAGTGGAATATACATTACAAACCTGTCTTTTCTTTATTATGTAAAGTTGTGAATTTAATTGAATACATTCACAATTCTTATACCATCACTTAATTATAAATTATTACATCAAAATAAATTATTAATTTTTATAATAATTAAATTAAAAGTTATATTTACTAAATATTTTAATTAATTGAAATAAATAAATATTTATACTATACTAAATTAGACTCTAATTGGCATCAGTATGTCTCACTAAGTATATTCTTGGACAATTTAGATGCTTTTAGATGAGATTGGATTAACTTTTAGTTTATGAAACCTTTTTTATTGTGATAAATATTTCATTTTTAACTTCTAAAATGTTTATTATAAATTTATAATTGTTGTGAAAAAAATTAAATGGACATTTTTTTTATAAAATTTAGAACATATGGGTTAATTTTAACTTATACAATAAGTTTATTTTATTTTTCCTCAGTTTATTTAATTTATTTCTCAATAAATATTTGTTGGGAACTTAATCAAATTTCAATTGAACAATGTTAAACAGGGGATGGTCGTGGTGACTTTAACATCATGGTTACCACAACTGCATCCTCCACCTTGTACAACCCTGCAAAACGCATCAGGTCAATGTGTTAGAGCAAGCAATTCCCAAATTGGTGTGCTGTTTTTGGGACTTTGCTTTCTGACCATAGGCTCTGCTGGGGTAAGGCCATGTAGTATACCATTTGGTGTTGACCAATTTAATCCAACTACAGAGGAAGGGAAGAAAGGGATCAATAGCTTCTTTAATTGGTACTACACAACATTTACAGTGGTATTGTTGTTCACTCAAACAGTGGTGGTCTATATCCAAGACTCTGTGAGCTGGAAGTTAGGCTTTGGGATACCAACATTGTGCATGTTCTGCTCCATAATCATGTTCTTTGTTGGAACAAGGTTTTATGTTCATGTGAAGGCAGAAGGAAGCATTTTTTCTGGTATTTTCCAAGTTCTAGTGGCTGCCTATAGAAAGAGAGAAGCCAAGCTTCCAAGTGAGGAGAAGGTAGATGGAGTTTTCTATGATCCACCATTGACGGGGACAGTTTCTTATTCAAAGCTTCCTTTAACCAAACAATTCGGGTCAGATGTCTCTATCTTCCACACTAAATTCTAAATTTTTTGTCGAATATGAAGGGGAGCATGACTTTTTTGATGTGGCCACTTCTATTACATCATTGACTAATAATTATATTCGGCACTAAGGAAATCACCAAACATCTAATTGCACATTGCAGCTACTAGAACTTGGATCATTTTATAATCATTATGGGTCAGCATCTATTCCCTTAATTTATATGCTTATATTATTTGATAATTTAGGAAAATATTTTTCTTACAACAAAAGTTAACTAATACCCTTAACAGTGATTTTTTTTTCTATTAGAAGCTTAATATATAGTACATTCTCTTATAAATTTTAAAACATTCTTAACAGAATTTCTAATATATTTTTTATTTATTAATTTTTTAACTAGTGCCATTCGGATGATAACTAAGAATAATTTTTTATTATTAAAATGTTTAAAAATTATATTAAAAGTACTGTTAACTAATTCTCTAAGAATAACAGTTAAGAAAATAAATAATTTTTATTAAAAATGATAGAAGGTGTTAAAAATTGTACTAAAAATGCATTAATAATATTTTTTTAATATTTTTTTTCACTTTTTAAACTTTTAAACTGCTCCCTGACCTTTTCCTTAAATTAATACTGACATGTAGAAAAGGAAAACTGTCCATGTCCTAATAGGCTAATAGCACATAAGCTGATTAATTTGTCTCTTATTAGGGCTTTGAACAAAGCTGCTCTAATAATGGAGGGTGAGCTAAACCCAGATGGGAGCAGAGTAAATCAATGGAAACTTGTGAGCATCCAGCAAGTAGAAGAGACTAAATGCTTAGCAAGAATTTTCCCAATCTGGGCAGCAGGGATCCTAAGTCTCACTTCCATGGCACAACAAGGAACATTCACTGTATTACAAGCCATGAAAATGAACAGACACTTAGGACCCAATTTCCAAATCCCACCTGGTTCACTTGTAGTCATATCATTAATTACCATAGGTTTGTGGCTCCCTCTCTATGACCGATTAATAGTACCAAAACTTAGGAAAATGACTAAGCACGAAGGGGGCATCACACTCCTCCTAAGAATTGGAATTGGCATGGTGTTCTCTATTTTATCTATGGTTGTGGCTGGCTTGGTTGAAAAAGTGAGAAGGGACTCAGCAAATTCAAATCCAAATCCAATTGGAAATGCTCCCATGTCAGTCTTCTGGCTAGCCCCACAATTGATCCTAATGGGTCTATGCGAGGCCTTCAATATAATTGGACAAATTGAGTTCTTCAATAGGCAATTTCCTGAGCATATGAGAAGCATTGGTAATTCCTTGTTTTCTTGTTCTTTTGCTGCTGCAAACTATGTTAGTAGCATACTAGTGAACATTGTTCATCATGCAACAAGAACACATAGCCACCCAGATTGGTTGACAAATGATATAAATGCTGGGAGGATAGACTACTTTTACTACCTCATAGCAGGGTTAGCGACCTTGAACATGGTTTTTTTTATTTATGTTGCTAGAAGATATCAGTACAAGGGGAGTGTGGATGTCCAAGATAAACCTCTTGATGTGGAGTTAGGCTCTCACAATGCCTAAAAGAATGATAAAGATCCTACTATTATGTATGTATGAAGACATTGCATAATTAAATAAATTGGAAAGAGCTTTCTTTTCTGATAATTATATTTAAATAAAATATTTTACATGTTTTCGTGCTTTCCTTGATTAAAAGAATAGAGACAAGGTGTGGGAAAATATATGTTTAACTTACAATATTTCCTAAGATGAAAATGATATAAAAATGATGCGAAACTCTTTTATCTGCATGGCTCCTCTCTCTTTTTTCTTTTCTTTTTTTCATTTACTTTTAACCATGAACATTTGAAACTAGCTATCATATCTTAGAAACTTTCTGATAAATAAAAAACTATCCAAATTCCTTGTGACGAACTTAATCAATGCGGCTTTTCATCAAAGTAAAAGAATTAAAGCAGTAGTATGAAGGTAGACATTTCAAATATTTGGATTAGGCCCCATTTTTCTTTGTAGTTATTAGTCAATTACTTTACGGTAACTAAGTGTTGTTATTAATTATAATTTTTAATATTATCTAACATTTATTTTTCTAAAATTTTTTCATACTATGAAGTTTTAATATCTTTTCTTTAAACAGTTTAAGCTCTCTCGTTTTCTTTTTTATTTCCACTTTTAATATTTTAAAAACTTAAAAAAAAAGTTGAAGAAGTAATTCAATATCAACATAGGAATTTAGATAAATTTATTAATATTTATAAAAATATAATAATGAGTTTAATTGATAAACAAATAATGCAAAGTAGTAATAGTTCTTATTTTAGTTCAAAATAAATTTAAAGAATATAATACTTATAGAATTTTATCGGCAATACTCATAAAGTTGTTAATATAAACAAAATTTAAAATTCATCCCATTTCATTTAGACAAATGATTATATAACTTAAAAAGCAAGAAAAATTAATATGAATTTATTTATTTATATTAGATTAAATCCTTTTATAAATTTTATCTAAAGTTTCAAAAATTATAAATATAATTATAGTAAAAAATCATTTATTTATATATTTAGAACCTATATGAAAATTGCACTTATGTTGGGTGAATTAGACTACTACGTGTCTAAAAGCAGAGCTAATCACACCAACGTATATAGGGCAAATGTCCAAAGTATAGTTATTGCCGAGGAAAACGTGGCTTGGGAACCTTTTAGGTAGGACAAACGAAGCAACATTATAATGTCGATTTTACTTTTATATAAATGGGTTATCTCCAGGTCTCTCTTTACTTTTTGTAATTTGTTTTCTTTCTTCAAAAGTGAATCCTATAAGAAATCATGTCCCTCAACTTTTCCTTTTGGCTATGATTGCCGACTCATTCAACAGAATATTATGTCTTTTTTATTTTATTTCACCAAGGGCCAACTAATACAATTATTTTATTAAGAAAATTTAAATAATGTCTTAAATATATTAGTTAAAAAGTTAACTTATTTTATTTATAAATAAAATTACTATATTGGTGATTTATAATACATGTTAACATGATTAGTAATTATCCCTAAAACTAGCAAAATTAGCATACACAGTCAGGCTAATTTGAACCCGTATAAAAAAAATGCATGATTCAGACTTAAATTTTAATTTAACTTATTTTAGTACCTCATGTAATACATAACTATTTTATTTAAAATAAATATAAAACATCAAAATATAATATAAATATTAAAAATACAAAAAAATAAGAATTTTATATTTTCATTAAATTAATCAAATATAATATACTAATAAATATTATATCGACATATATTTTAACAAAAATAAATTTTACATGTATAATATTATGTTAAAAAATATAACTGTTATATATATATATATATAATATTGTAATAGATAAAAAAGAGTAAAAGGTACTCTAATATTAAAAATAAATTTTTATAATTAACTAAAGAAATAATTAAGAGGATATTTAAAAATAATATAATATTTGAGAAAAATTAATAAAATTCATAAAATTTACAATTTTTCATTGAAAAAATATGTTTTTTTTTTATAAAATTAAAGATATGTAAATACTGAGAATTTTGACTGAAAATATTGTAAATTATAAATTAAATATTATAAACATCAATATAAATATTTATGAGAAATTCAAAGTTAATATAAGATAATAAAGATATTTTTATAGATATAAACATAATTATTTATAAAATAATTTGAAAATTTATATAAAGTGATAAAAAAATTAGTATAAATGTAAAAATAAGTATTTAAAAATATAAAATCCTATACAAAATAATAAATAAAAAATTAACAATTTTAATCTTTAAATTTTAAAATAAAATTAATAAAAATAAATATAAATAATATTATTATAAAAATATGTAATTTACATATTATTTAAAAAAATTAATCATTAAATATTATATTTTTACTTTCCAAATAATAGACTCTCGTATTCACTGAATAATTGTAGCTAATATAAGGCTCTCGATGCTCACAACAAAACAATTAATAACCCTTGGGAGTCCAACTGCCTTACGCCATCAAGGAAATTATGGTCCACTTAACAAGTCAACGACAACGTAATGTGACGGGAAAAAAATTAAAAGAAAACTGTCCCTAAATATAATAAATAAAGATAGATTTATTTTTATGTTTAATCCATAATAAATTAATTTCATTAGATACTTTAATTAAAATTAGAAATACATATTATTTATTCATTTTAAAATTAAATTTATTCGAAAACAATGTACTAATTATCATATAGAACGATCGTGTATCAAGACTGAACTTTGGGTGTTTTGGGGGCAAAATTGCTTGCCTGTCATGCTGTGTCTTAGGCCAGTCATGGAAAGATTCCTTTTGACATGTTTGAAAATGAAAGCTCAATATGAACGGTTCAAAATAAGCTTTAATGTTGAAAGTATTGATGATATTATATAGCTTGGGAACAGGTTGATTAAATCCCTTAAATTAGTAGAACGTAGCCATTTTTTCCACAAGATATTTCCACTTCATTGATGGGACCACTATGATAAGACATTGTATGAATCATGGAACTAAATGAATGAAGACAAGACAACCCACGTAAGAAAAAACCTTCCTCGTGATAACTTTTGTTGACGAACATATACATTCTGATCGAGGGGAGTAAAATCCATGAACATGACTAAAAATTGTTTAAACTGAGAAAAAAATTGTAAAAGGGGATGGCTTTTGTTCGACTTAGTTAAGACAAGCCCATAGCATCGTTAGATCGAAAACGGGTGAGCAGCAATGGCCTAACGGCAGTTGAACCCGACCGAAATGTTGAGGACCAACTTTCAATTTTTCAATAGCATAAGTATAGTGCAAAACTTTGGCAGAGAGAGATAGGCTCAGTTGGAATTTGGAGATTCGGATTCTCTTCATTTTAAGTACAAATATAGTAATCTAGTTGAGATATATTTTGCTTATTTTAATTTTGTTTAACCAAAATATAGTATTAATAACTTATGCGAGGAGAAATTTTGGTAAAGTAAATTTGAATTTATTTCACAAAAATTGTCACTTAAACGAGATAAAAAATAGTTAAAGTTGTGCTTGTTTAAGCGACACTAGTATATTTACTTAAGTTAAAAAGATATTCACTTACGTAAGTCTAAACTAATTTAATTAATTTAAAAAATATATATTTAAAAAATATATAACAAAAAGAATTACATAAAGTATTTAGATTTTTTAGCGAGAACTGTAATTTGCAGTCTAAATTTATTTAAGCTAATTTTATTTTGCTTAAATAAATTTAGCAAAAAATAATATTTACTTAAGGTAAAATAATTAACTTAAACAAATTTGATAAAAAAAAAAGTAATTTTTGTTTAAGTTAAAATTATAAAAAAAATTTAAAATTTCATCATCTTTTTTAAACTATAGAAGATTTGAAAAAAATTTATTTCTATCAATGATTACCTATTTACCTAAGACCTTTCTATATATTATCCCACTAAATATTTTAAATATATTGTTTAATGTGTTATTTTTACTAAGCATTAATAATAGGGTAGAATCATTTAAAATTGAATTAAATTGTTGCGAATGATGAAAATGATTATAGGACTGATAATTTTAAGAAATTAATTGAGAAATAATTGTAATATATTTTCTAAAATCTTTAAATTTTTGTAGTATGACCATAAAATATGATCACATGATCTTGCAAAAAAGTTTTTTAAATTTTCTATAGTTTAGAAAAGAAGAATATAAAATTTTAAAATTTTTCACAATTTTTGCTTAAGCAAATTTTTGTAATTTAAACGAAAAATACATTTTTTATTAATTTGTTTAAGTAAATTTAAATTGTTGGCTGAAGTTTCTGATTAAACTACATGGTATCCATATCTCCAAATATAAGCTTATCTCTTACCCAAATTAATATTTTACACCTCAAATGGATTGAATTAACTCCAATCTAATGACTTTACTGGCTGACTAATATGAAAGAGGTTTAGATTTTTTTAATGAAAGGTAAATGAATCGTTAGTCCACTGTGTGAGCTGCGATTTTAATTATGTTGATGCTTAGGGTGCAGGAACAGAAATTGGCATGCTTAAACAAATTATCTTTTAGAAAAGTCAAGTGCAAATAAAAAATTCATCAGGTGTGTCGCGTGAATCGAACGGTTAAAGTTTTAAAAACATCGTTTAAGGACATATTTTTTAAAAAAAAAATAGATGAATTACTATGAAATTTTATTTAAAATTTTTTAAAAAAATTAAAACAACATGATCTTTGAGATAAAAAAAAAAAATAGATTTTGTGAGTATGTGTAATGTTAGACTTGTGATTTATTATTGAGTAATCTATAAAATTTTATACTTGTTAAATGTTAATTGAAGAATTATTTGGTATTGGTATAGATTTAGATGAAGTTTAGAATTATTTATTAAAAAAAAAAAAGTGAACAGTACCATATGAATAGTGTCAAATGAACAGTAAAACTGCCTATGAACAGTGCAAACTGCTTATAAACCGCGTATGTACAGTGATCGCTGACATCATGCTGACGTCACATACGCGTACAGTATTTCTGGCGTGAATAGTATCCTGAACAGTGTTTCCGTCGTGAACAGTAAGGCAGTGAACAGTGTTTCTGGCGGTGAACAGTAAATTTTGAAAATTTTCTATAAAAAAGGGCTTCAC